TTTTGCCATTTGAGATTCCACCAGCTTCCAAAAGAATGAATATAACATGTATTCATAAAAAAAACATTATATTTAGATGTTTTTTAATTCTATAAAAATATACAAATATTTTTTTCAATTCGTCCACATTCAAATAATAAAAAGATTGAGAAAACATAGTTACTTGAAAAGTATTGCTTCATAATTTTTGATATTCATTGTTCCCTTGTTGAGCCTCTCAGTCTTCTAATGCTCGTAAACAAATTAAGTCATTTTTGATTTCTATCCTCCAATTCTATCATATCTAAGAAGCTATTCTCAAACTTCGTATGAATGAAGTCAATCAGCCACAAAGATGGAAGCGTGTTAACAACAGCGCACCACATTCTTGGATTATTCGGACTGAAACCTTTTTTTCTCAGTTCTCTAAATAATGATTCTTTCTTTTTTATATGGTCTATGACATTTGATTGTGGATCCATTTTTTCTGTCTCAAACTGTATCCAAAGTGGATGAATCTTGCGCTCCACTTCCGTCAATAATTGTATAAATCGTATCACACAGGTTGGTTGGTCGTGATTAAAAATTTTTTCCTTTGCAAAATCCCAAGTGGTGGGAAGGGTCTCTACCATTTTCTGCATAATATAATTTTCACTTATATTTTTTCCTACATTTTGCAACACACGACCTAATCTAATTTTTTCAAGCCCAAACTCTGAGATTGGAGTTCCATCTTCAAAAGAATCATTTTTAAATTTATCTATTATGCTTGCTACTGCCAAACAGATACTACGACGTACATAGATGGGAGGACGATCCATATTATCTGTACATAATATAAAAATTACAAATTAAATTGATAATAATAAAATTAATAACAGTTAACCAATATTACAACAATAAAATAATTTTTTACTATCACATGTGATCTAATATTATAAGAATAAGAACAACAATACACCAACAACAATAAGAGAAATGGAATAATTAAAATGATAACCTTATTATTCATTGTTGCAATATTATTCTTGATAATCATAAACATGCAACAATTAAACCAAGAAGATAGACAACAAATATAAGTCCATGCATATGAATTAAATTCAAAGAATATTAAAATAGTGTGACTTATTCATAAACATTAATTGAATGATTTAGCCTTGCAGCTTTTGATTGAATGTAATATTAAACAATGTAATTAATGATTCAATCTTCCAGTAGATCATTGAACTTTCTCTTCATTGAAAATTTTCTTCATCACTTTTCTGAACGTTCTTAGGTCAATACATAGGTGAAACCTCAAGTTGGGAGAATGGACAACAACCTAGTTTTACAGGAAAAAAAGAAAAAACAAATCTTAGTAAAATATATAGAATTTACAAAAAAATACAGTACATTGCAACAGTGTAAAGATCGAGTTACCTAATTACGATAACCCCATCGGTGAAGTCGCATTGTATTTATTATTTTCATCTCTTTAGCCAATTCATATCAATCCTACAGATATTGAATGATGATAATGTAGAGTTAACATGGTTATTTTAATTATGTGTATTCAATATGAAAAAAATTTGTAACTAAATGGTACCTTATATAAATAATTGAATAGGAAGTCTTATAACAAAACTTCAGGGAAAACGATGTTTGATGTGCAATTCGACGTATCTTCAGGAAGAAGAACACTTATACGATCAGAAGATGTACATATGGATAGTGCCATATACAAAAGTCCATGGCTAAACACTGCTATGCACTCCCAACGAATTTAACAGATTGCCCTTGAGATTTATTGATTGTCATAGCATATGTTAAGCGCACAAGAAATTGACGGCTTGTCATTTGAAAAGGTAATTCCGAAGATGATGGTGTAAGTGATATTCTTGGAATGAAGACTAAATTGCTTGATAATGGTCCATTCAGAATCTGAGTTTTAATTACACGCGAGGCACATCTAACAACCTTTAATCGCATGCCATTACAAAGCCCATCTTTCGGCGCCAAATTCCGCAACAACATTATTGGGCAACCCACTTTTAACTCCAACTTAAATTGCAGTAGTCCTGAAGGATTTAGAGATTTTAGATACTCATTCAAAAAATGGTTCATGATAGTATGATCACGTTCCGCATCTTCTGAAATTTTGTCTGCAGCTAAATATGTAATAGTCTCACCAAGGGATATATTCAATGCTGCCGCATTTATAGAACTAACATCATCATTATGTGCAGAAAGAATTGTACGTTCAGTTAGATAATCTGGGGTCATTGTACCAGCCACTTCTAAACGCGGGTAAATTCTGAATATCAATTCTTCTAGATTATGACATTTGTGTATTGTTGATGGAAGTTCTATGATTTCTTCTGGATTGGTCCCAACCTAAAATTAAAATTGGGAAGTTAAATGAGCGAAGAGGAATAAATACTAATGAAAAGCAATATTTCATAAAATTATTGATGAATAAATTATTACCTCCATTAAAAAGTTTGCAAATGCAACATCTAAAATCTGTGTGAGTTTAGCGCATGTTTTGACCCAGAGTCAAAACATGTATATCCCTCCACAAAAATGATCGCCTCAACGATGCACCCACAAATTACTTGCAGACTCCTCTTGGTATTATTGGTAAGATTTGTCGAAAGTCTCCACCAAGCACAACAGTAATACCCCTATATGGCTTTTTATTATCACGAATATCTTGAAGTGTGCGATCCACTGCCTCAACACAATGTCTATGCTGCATAGGTACTTCATGCCATATTATTTGTTTTGTTTTTCTAGACAATTATGCATGCATCAATTGTTTGGTAAAGCCACAAATCGAATTCTCAAGCACATTTAAAGGAATACAAAATATAGAATGTGTCGTGCGGCCTCCCATCAATAATAAAGACGCAATGCCAGAAGAAGCAACAGTAACAACAATATGTCCAAGGCTACGCAATTTCGTTGCAATTGTATTGTACAAAAATTGTCTTCCCTGTCCCGACACCCCCATTCAAGAAGAAAGTAGTTCCTATATCTTGAAACACTGATGAGGTGATTTCAGCATAAGCAACGTGTTGTGCATCATTAAGACGATCAACATTACTTTGTGCATCTGACTGTTGCGCTTCATTCTGGAGATTTTTATGCTTAAACAATAGTCTATTAACAACTATTGCATTCCATTTTCCAATCGGTTGCGGCATTGATGGGAAGTCAATTAAGCTTTTTCTTGACTCGTGGAGCAATTGATTCAGTAAATATAAGCCAAAATCTTTGATTTGATCCTGAGTTGGATTTGAAATACCAAACATTGTACGAATCTTGGGTTGAAGATCATCACACATATGCACTGAAAACTGGTTCCATAATGCAAGTGGATATAGTGGAGATCATTCAGTTAGAATAATACCGAACAATCTCTTCAACTGGTGTCTCATTTTCATAATTGAAGCCTCTTGTAGACATTGTATCCATTCGACATTATCTTCTAGAAGACCTCTTACAACACATGCAGATATGAAGAATCGCACATAACGTTGTTTACCGTGCACAGGTTATCAAATGATGTTGGTCCTTTGACAACTGTTAGTAGCAAACGCAGATAAAAACGCTCACCTGAATTTGGGCTTACAAAGTACATCCTGTCAATTGCATACCCCCTTTGTCTAGGGGTCCATATTGTGGTTTTCTTGTTCCAAACAATTTTTTTTGAAAATTCTTGATAGGTTAATGCACATGCAAATTCATTTGAAGCACAATATTTAAAGAAACCAGTCAAAGTTGTATCACGTTGTGCACCTCTTGAAATGATTGATTGAAGTAGTTCGTCCGAATTAAAAACAACATGATGCATCTCTGGTAAATGAAGTTTCAAACATATAACTGACGGAATCTCTTCATGTAAAGGATTACCAAATATTTGTCAAGCAACCTCTGGAGATCCAATATACCTTGCATCAAGATATTTTTGAATTTCATTTCCTCCTCTCAACACCATAGTGTTGCGATTATTACCTTTATAAATGTACTTATGGATGTATTTCACACATCTTATTCTCGCACAAACTTCCACATTGACAGTTGAACATTCTTGAAAGATAAGGATTGTATGGCACGACATCCTATTATCAACTTCTTGGCCCCTAACAGTATAAATGTGACCATTATCATGACGACGATAAACAAGATATCCATCATCGCCCATGCTTGTTGATTCTACAAATGTCCGAGGGTACCTCTTAGTACATACACCATTTTCCATACATGATGCATGTGAATTTCAAACACCACATGGTCCATGTACCATACAACTCTTGATCGTATCAAAAAGAAGAAAATCTTTGTCTAGATCAGGAAATTCAGCACACACTACCTTGTCTACCAGAGAACATGTTTGAATTTTGTCTGGACCATGATGGAACAGAAGTGCATGCATGTGTGGTAGCCCTTATTTTTTAAATTCGATTGTGAAAACATGTGCTATATTTTTACCAAATATGTTTTTCATCTCTATCATCTTCATCAAAAACCTTCTCTCTTAACTCAAAAACACATGCAACTAAATCTAGACGATCAACAGGATAGTGAATGATGTAGGACCCCTTCCAGTGACCAATCTCGAATCCAAGGTAGCACCAAGACTTGTAAAAGCATTTCCTGCATTATACTTGCGGGTATGCTGAAAAAATGATTTTGATTGTTCATCATTGCCATCATACAATGCCTTAAGTACTGAAGGAGGTGTATTAAGTGGTGGTATCCTAATTTTTTCTTGCAAACAACATGTTCCAAACAGAGGGTGTCCTGTACGGGAATTTGATAATTGTTCAGCCTTCCAATGTAAAGCTGAACAATGAGGACATGGTACATTCATAATTCTAAGTGAATGGTGACCTTCTACTCCATGTGTTCGAGGATCAAACTCAATACTACATAAATTAAATTAAAATATATAAGCTAAAAAACTTGTGGTTATAGTGATGCCTGCAATCAAGCTCAATGAAGCTCATAAATAATAACATTAAGAAATTTGTAACTTATAACCACCTGGAGGGAGCTTGCATCGTGCTACATTCATCTAAATTCAACATTTCTTGGAACATGGTCATAACAAACGATGACCCCATTTCATTTATTACAGTTTGTTCTACTATTTGCATATGGCTTTCCATGGAACAAATGGTAGGTGGTTCCATTTGCGCCGTGGTGTCTTCGCCGAGATTTCCTTCGCCTAAATTTTGTGTAGGCATTTCTTGAAGCATAGTGACCACAGACGATGACCTTGTGAAATTTATTTCCACAATTTGCTCTGGTACAACCTTAGGAACATCTGTAGGCATGGATGTGGATTGAACAAAAGATCTTTTGAATGTCGATCTTTCTAGTTGAGATAGATGACGGCGGCTCGGTGTCAACCTAGGAAAAATCCTAGGTTGAATGCATGGACGTTCCAATATCTCCCGTTCTCGACGTGCACGTTGTGCCAATCGGTGTTTTGATATATAATAATTATCGTTGGATATCTAAAACATAATTAAAAGATTCATCGTTGTGAACATAAGCAATTAGATATAAATTTCTTAATTGTTGAATTCAACATTCATACCACTTGAGGTTTTGTATTTTCTTTTCCTTTGCCAGAAGAGCCTACTTTTTCTTTTCCTTTAGAGTTAGCGATCGCCATGGTAGTTGCATTTCTTTTTTCCTTCCAACAATACAATATGTGTAAGTTAAAAACCATTATAGTTAAAAAGAATAATGCATATATCATTATATTTGAATTTGTTGTTACCATTTCAGATATGTGAAGGCGGTTAAGCTCACGTTCATCACGAATCACAACGCTTACGTTGTTTTTTTCGAAGTAACTGGACCTAAAAATTCAAAAAAATGTAAAGCTAAATTGAGTGATATGAAATAAGAAGTAACAAATGAGTCATAAGAAAATCAACTTACTGCACGATCTAGGTCATTATCCATCTGTAAAAAGGTGGTTAAAAAAATTGTAATTAGTGAAAGATTATATATTATGAAAGGTTGTAAAAGAAATATATTAGAGAAAGATCTTACATGGCCAAAAATAGTAATGTTGTTCATGGCACCAATAGACGATGGTGTCGATTGCACCGAAGTGCCTTCAACAAAATTGCCTTCATAAAGATTATGTGGAAGATTTTCTCGAAGCATTGTCGGCAGAGATGATGACCCAAAGACATTTGTTTGAATAGATTGTTCTGCAAGAAACTCAGGAATTTGTGTAGGCACCGAAATTTGTGCAAGCACAAGAGTAGACTGACTTGGAAGACGTTTCGATCTCTCACGCTCCCGACGTGCACGTTGTGCCATTTGACGTTTTGTTAAAACATTATCATTGATTGCCTAAAAAGTTAAATAACAAAAAATATTGGTATGAATGAGTAAAATTTTCTTAACAATTACTTAGTATTGCGATTATTTGACCAATAATACCATTTGGCATTCGGTATTTTCACTTTCTTTGGCATAAGAGATTACTTTTCCTTTTCGTGGATAGCTAGCATTCACCATTGCGTTCTACTTTTTTCTTTCCTTTAAAAAACAATAAACATGAGATCATAAGAATTTCAATCTATATACATAGTTACAATTGCATTAAAAATATCGCAAGGAAGAACAATTTTTACTTTCTTTGGCAAAAAAATATGCAAGTTACCTTTTTTTTTTGTTGCATTATTTGGTTTTGAAATAGATACAACCCATTTGGGGTTTGTTATAGTTTTTGGTTTTAGTTTGGTTTATTACAGAGATTTTGATTTAAATTATTGATAAACTCAATAATGTTGTAACGTTTAAATTAATTATGAACTTAACAATGTTTAAATTATTTATGAACTAAATAATGTTTAAATAATTTATGAACTTAATAATTTATTAATTATTTATGAACTAAATAAAGTTTAAATTATTTATGAACTTAATAATGTTTAAATTATTTATGAACTAATTAATGTTTAAATTATTTATGAACTTAATAAATTTTAAATTATTTATGAACTTAATAAAGTTTAAATTATTTGAAATAGATACAACCCATTTGGGGTTTGTTATAGTTTTTGGTTTAGTTTGGTTTATTACAGAGATTTTGATTTAAATTATTGAGAAACTAAATAATGTTGTAATGTTTAAATTAATTATAAACTTAATAATGTTTAAATTATTTATGAACTTAATAATTTATTCATTATTTATGAAGTAAAGAAAGTTTGAATTATTTATGAGCTTAATAATGTTTAAATTATTTATGAACTTAATAAAGTTTAAATTATTTATGAACTTAATAATGTTTAAATTATTTATGAACTATATAATGTTGTAGCAGTGCCAAGGAGTAAAAAACAGATACAAATGTGCAAATATACTCCTAATTTATTATGTCCACATACAAATAAAGCATTGACATTGGGCATTGATATGTTAAAAATGGATTTTAGTGATAGTAGATAAATTTCATAATAATCAAATCAACAACATAAACAAATCTTTAGTAATAGTATATGAAACAATAGCAAAAATCATGAATATTAAACAAGCCTGGATTATTAGAATATTAAACAAATCGGGAATATTATTCACCGAAATAAAGTAGCAGCGAGAGAGAGAATTGGTTGAACAAAATCCCGAGTCAAGAATCGAAATTACCCTAATATCACGTATGAAACAGTAGTTGCATCAATATATCAAAGAAAATTAAATCAACAACCATAGAATTCACTCAAAAATAACATAGACCCTTCTTCTTTAGTCTATCAGAAATAACATAGCTTAAGCAATCTGTAATTCTAGCTAATGGCATTTCTAAGGTTCCACTTGATAGAATTTTTAGGCATTCTATCAAAATTGGGAAAATTGAGTGACATAATTTAAAGGAATAAATATACGGAGCATTTTCTTTCAATAAAATATGTATTTCTAGTTGAAAATTAAAGGCCAGGAAAAGGAAGCTTGAGGGCATTTACCTGGTTCACGACGGTTCGTGTGGACAACTATAACAAAAGTGAAGACCTTCTTCTTTGTATATTCCATAATCTGCAGAAGCAACATAACTTGACTGATATAAGACCAAATAAAACATTAGCACTAAAAACTTTGATATAAAAACTAATATTTGCACATGTGTACTAATTTGGAGGTCCATTACTCCAGCCTGCACCAAAAGACAATATAGGCTAGTGGCAGTTTGTGACGCCCCAAAATTCGATGGTCCGTTGATTTCTCATCAACCCGTGGATACCGAGTAACTCGATATCACACCGTTATGTCCCATTTATGGAGGTCCCATTTATGGAGGTCCTTAATTTAACAAAATTCGGGCAGAGTCTCCTTTATACGGGGAGCTCTACCCAAAAACACAACCTGTGCAATATACATTAACATGACCCGTCCGAGGCCCCATATAACACAATGACCACACTGGGTCCAATTATAATTAAACATTGGCCACACCGGGTCCAATCATCCATATTTATATCAAAACATGCAAGGTTAGTTTAACAATAGTCCATATAAGTTCTATTATAATTTAAAAGATTACATGCTTAAAATATTCTTTCCACAAATATTTTACATCAACACAAAATAAAGCCACATTCGGCTTTCTTCAAACATGAGGGTCCAAATTGGAGCCATCCACCGGTATACCTCTCCCACCTGAAATGTTTCTCATATAGGGTGAGTCAACGCTCAGTAAAAAACTCCTACAGAGGCTACTCTCCACCACAAACAACTTCTTCCAAATAAGAATATGTTATTTAAGATAGAATCTCATGATGTCATGCCAAGTAATGAGATGAAACTCACTCATGCATGCTATCCCGAGCCCACACCGACTCCCACAACACAATGCGACTCATATGTGTAAAACAAACGTCTTTGATGAAACACATCCAAAGATCATTTTGAAATCAATCATATGTCATAAAATCAATTCATTCTTAGATGTTTTCCATCAAATGAATAATTTATATATCAAAATCATGTGCCTTTATGGGGTATCGGATTCAAGAATCGCACCTCCGGCTCCGTACGCCATTACACTTTTTTGGAATTTCACCGCCAGTAAGTTTATGAACCAAGTGGCCGGGTTTTTCACCCGAGGGAGTATCTAGCCCTACTTTCTATACCCGACACAAGTTTTCTTATGCATGTAACCGTGCGACTCCGTAGGACGTTCCATCCCACTTTCCCTAGCCCACCATCAAGCACCAATGTTGGTGTTGATCACCCCATGTAACTCTACACCCACACTCATGCATGTAGCCCATGAATGTGATGTCAATTTCATGTTCATATTGCAATGCATGTCAAATAAACAATTTTTATATATCAATGTATACCATGATAATTTATATCATTTGCATATAATCACCATAACCATTTCAAGTTCAATATATTCAAAAGCATATATCAACACTTCATCAACATGATAACACATAATACATGCTAATATCACATTTCATTCACAAGGCATAATATAAAAACACAAAGCATGCCCACAGGATCCCAATTTCCAAGGAATTACATAAATACTTCCATATACCAAAATCAAAAGCCAAGATTTTATATGGACTATTTCAAACAAAATAAAAATCAGAATATATGACTTTTACATAACCAATTATTGAAACATTCTAGAAATCACAAACTAGCACTTTCTAACTACCAATTCACACTAGAATTGATCCTACCCATTTTCATAATATCAACCATAATGGAAAAATGTTAGAAATACCCAAAATAGCCCACATGAACCCTATAGACACCTTAGGTTAGAAATAGGTCCGAGCAGGAGGAACCTTAGCTCTTGAAGCGTAAAAAATTCGTAGGAAGCCTCAAGAACAACATTCAAGCCCAAAGCTTAGATTTCTCAAAAATCCTTCCTTTGGATCTTCGGTGAAAATATTTATTTTTGGTACCCACGCGTAGTCCTCGTCGCGTAGATCGACTTTAATTCTTAGCCTGACAAATTTCGACAGACAAAACTCCAAGAATCGGCGGAAGAAAGCTTGAAGAATTATTATTTTTTTTCCTCTTTACTCTTGGGTCTGATCCAGCCGGCCAAATGAAGGGAAAATATCTGATTTTTCAGATATTTTCCCATACTTATACTTTTTAAAGACTTGACCCTCGTCGCGCCAAGTGTCCTCCTTTGTCCGGGTCCGTTTTCGCTCCGAAACGATTAAATTTCGTATCAATTTAAGCTAAAAATATTTTATATGAATTTTATTTAAAATATTTTTCAACTTTAAAAATTTTTAGAAAACTTTCGTTTTGGGGGTCATCGAACGCCATCGTCTTGAAAAACGTAAAAAACTTGACTATCTCGAAATTCGATGAAAATTTACAGAATAACTAGATTTCGCGAGACGAATCCAACGGTGAGGTCCGTTTCATCATCCGAAGTCTAGAAAATATCAGTTTTCAACCCACACTATAATAACAAATTACCATTTTACCCTTTTTCAGAAAAAGTTTAAATTTTTCCCAGGTTTCACACAGTTAGCTAGAATTTAAGTGGGTCTAGGTTTGGACTACCAAGTTATGAACAACATCACGTTGAAGTTCACAAAATCTTAAGACAAACACGGGGGAACTTATAAAAGAAATATACTCCTTGTCAAAGGTAAATATACAATCTCATATTTAGAAAAATAACAATATAATTGTACAAATGCATAAACAGTCATGGGCTTATGAAATAATGTGTCAGTATGATGTAGTGCCAGTTAGATGCAGTGGGTGTGCTTGTGTGCGCAAGGAATGAGATCAGCCATTTAAAGAATTTTCGTATAGCATATGCAGTGGGTGTACAAATGCATTGCCGCCTAGTGAGAAGTCAGTTCCCAATTCAAGCTAACTTTCTTTTGTTACATTGACAGTAGTATATCTTTTTGATATTGTTTTCAGTTAGTATTAGGAAGAAGAGCTTGTTTCTTTCTGATTTATGGCTATAATAAATAAATTTCTTTCCTTTGTTTTGCTAAATGATTCAATTTGTGTGGCTGTTTATCTTTCTTAGTTTGATTGGAATTGTTTATTTGCAATTAAAAGATTAATGGTTCATTGAGGTAGTTTTCCAACAACAGGGTATTTGCTACTGTCAATGTAACAGGGCATTAGCTCTTGACATGGATAAAAGATTAAAGCATTCAACGTTAAAATAGAAGTTGGAAATCCTTTATCACTTAAGCTAAGAGTAACAGGATAATTATGTTCAAAGTGACAAACTCAACAATCTTTGTATTTTCATATTCATTCAATTCAACATTCTTATACACAGAGCTTGTTTCTTTCTGATTTATGGCTGTAAT